TAAAAAGCTCTCTTATGTAGATGCCAGTTCATTTCAATCACTCGGAAATGGCTATGGCAAAGATTCGTATGATGTTTACTATAAGGGGAAAAAGCTCTCTGGTGCAAACGCCAGATCATTTCAATCATTTGGAGGTGGCTATGTCAAAGATTCGTATAATGTTTATTATATGGGTGAAAAGCTCTCCGGTGCAAATGCCAGTTCATTTCGATCACTTGTAGCTGGCTATGCTAAAGATTCGTATAATGTTTATTATATGGGTAAAAAGCTCTCCGGTGCAAATGCCAGTTCATTTCAATCACTTGGAGCTGGCTATGCCAAAGATTCTCATGGAACTTATTTTATGGGCCAAAGGTTTTATGGAAGCGTTCCTCGTTCACTTAGATCATGAGAAAATATCGCGTAGAACAGAAACCGTACAAAATGTCTATCGAAATTCGAAAATCTATAAACCTTTTATTCTTCATCAGCGTCGTTGATGTACTCTTTCCGAGTAACGATTATTCTTTCTGACGTATGTATCGATATTAATGTCATCTTCTGCTACTATTCTCTTCTTCTTTTCTCTTTTATTTTCTTCTATATAAGCGTGTGTTATATGACAAATTGTTCAATAAATATTATTCCTGAGGATAACAGCAAACAATTCCAATTCTTCACTATGCTGACGAATCTGACCGAATATTTGTCGCTTCATAAAATTCTTAATTATCTAACTTGCAGTTCTTGTTTCAAAAGCGATTTTTTCTGAGAACAACAAAAGCTCAACACTATAGAACATCGTTTGGAAATTTGTAGTAAATAATTAATTAGAAGTAAAACAAACATATTTACCAAAAAAAAATAACAGCCACTTTAAATTGACGATATGAAGAATGTTATGAACATTTATGAATATTAAAATAGTTAAAATAAACAGCAAAGAATGCTAAGTAATACTCATTGAAATAACAAATGCACAGATCGATGAGAGTTGAATGATATATACTGTTACTATGGAAGTATAATATTGGCCAAATACGGTACTAACTGACTGTATTCAAGAGTAACTAGGGGTTGCATAAATGTTCAAATGCTTCGATCTATCGTGTTTAACATGGATACGTTTCATGCTATTTCTTTTCAAGTTACTTCATTGCTTTTACTTCAGGGAAATTCTTGTCTGCTTGTACTGTAGTATAGTCTCGTCAACAAACTGCTTCGTATTGTCATGCTCCGAAATCTTTGCGAAATTGCAATGACTTGCACAAAAATGTTACAGATGAGGGTGTGGGTGTGGATGTAGGTGTGGGTGTGGATGTAGGTGTGGGTGTGGATGTAGGTGTGGGTGTGGTGTGGGTGTGAGTGTGGGTGTTTGTGTGGGTATGGATATGTGTGATAAAAGGTAAAACACACACCCACACCCACACTCACACCTACATCCATACCCACCCATATCCACACCCACACCCACAGCCCCACCCACACCCACACCCACACCCCACACCCCACACCCACCCACACCCACACCCCTCAGTTGATCGAATGGCATCAATGTAACTGAGTAATTTATAATCATCTAAGATATTTTATCAACATGACTTTACTAAACATATTGAAATTCAAAGCAATTGTGTTATATTCATCAATAATGATCTAGCTATGCAGGCATTACACTATATAATTGACAGTATAATAAAACTAAGAGATAATTCAATGTCTACAGATATAATTCTTTATAGATTTCTTCAATATTTCAATAAAAACAAAAATGGAAAATAATGATGATTCTACATTCGATGGTTTGTTTTCTTCAATTAAAAAAATTTTTGTTGATTTCGATTGATTTCTCAACTATATTTTCAATTCCTTGACAAGATTTTAGCAATGAAGATCTTCAGCCATCAATTAGTCTAAGAGAGGAGGTTATTAAACAAGATTTTCTAAGTTTAATGTAATATCTTTTGTAGATAATTATCATGTTGATGAAAATTTTGATTCTATTATACAAAATCATGATCTTAATGGAGCATTTCCAACAGTGTATGAGTGTGGATATCGCTTTGCACATGATTCGTGCGTATCAATATTCTTCTTATTTCCATTTCAGTACACACTCACAACCATCCTGGTTTTATATTTTCTTCAATTTACTAGTGCGAAGCTAATTAAGTCCTTTTCATTAAATGAATGATTTGTTTCATGTGACTGGAATTCAAATTTTAAATTGTATATATATATCTTTAATTATAAAAATGAAATTCATAAAATGATACAATAATTTCAATGATTTATCTTTCGTATTCAATAAATTCTACAATAGATGATAGATGTTTATTAAATATGGTCGATATTTATCATAACTAAACAAAGTATAGATAAATGATTTGTGTCGTTTTTGCCTAAATGAAGAAAAATGTTCTTCTCTGCTGGATTACGAAAAAAAAACATTGTTCCATCAATAAGGATTAAAATACTCAAATCTAATGAATTTAAATTCAGACTGAAGTTTGGTAAGTGGTTTCATTTCTTTTGAAACTGTTTATCTATTTACACATTTCATATAATCATAGATACGCTTTATTTCATATAACACTGATTTAACCATGATTTTAAAATATAATATTTCATTTTAAGTATGAAATATACTTGATTTGATTATACCAGTCTGTCCAGCATCGAAAAAAGATCATGCACTGCCAATAGGTCATATGTTTTCCCTATGATTATATCAATAAAATAAGTTAATATATATAGTTTTTAGGTTGATCTAAATTTGGTTTTACGTTATGATGATGATAATATGTCTCATTCGTTGGGAATATTTTTTTGAAAGCGATAATAGAATTGATTTAGTTGCATTTGATGACAAACAATTTCAAATTCGTTGAAATAAAGATAAATTCAATTTCTTTAATGTACTATAAGATTGTGACATGGCTATTTACTATTATTTATGTCCAATATATGTATAGTCTTTAGAATCTTCAGTTGATCTTTAAAGACTATTATGAGAGTATAATGAAAAATATAATTTTCGATTGAATATTATTGTAACAGTTACAGAGAAACTATGTTCAGAAGTGAAATGAATTGTAAGAGCAACAGTGAAGAAGACTTTTGTATTTTGTAGATATGTTACAAAAGAAATTCAAATTGTTCAAATGGAATTAAGTTAGCTTTTACCATGTTTACCATTTATATTGAATCTTATCTTTATTTTATATAAACTTTTAGTTGATGGTGTCTTTTGTCTATAGTAGATCAAGAGATTGATATCCAAAATTCAAACAAATGCTCTTGAAAGACTTTTAGAAGATCATTTGAAACCTAATCTATCCATGTTGGTGATTTAATTTATGTTCTTAAACAAGACCTTGGTTTTAAGAGAAAAAAAATGAGTAAACCTATTAGTTTAAGATAGTCCCAATTTTGAACTAACAGCATAAAATAGTACGAACTTGATTTATCTCTATAAGAATATATTTTATGAATTTTGATCCATATGAAAAATTTAGCATTAAATGAAAAAGAGGAAAGGCTTAATGACCAAATTATTGTTTTTTTGTTAAGCAACATTATTTTTATTTAATGATATGTAGTGTCCGATGTTTACGTTCAGTTTAATCAAAGTTAACGTTTGACTCTGTTCTTTCTCAGCGTTTCTCTGATGATCAGTATGTTCTACTGCATAAAATAGTTTTTCATTCAAGAAATATGAACATACTAATTTTTGCAGTTTATCGGATTTATTCATATGAAAGAAAACGACATAATGTATAAGACAATACTCATAGAATCTAAGTATGCAAATCATCAAACTTCGAATATTACATTAACTTTGTATGCATCATTTCTGTTTAGAACCAAATGACTAACATCATTTTTCTATAACATATTTGCAAAATCAGTAAGAAAACAATCTCGACTAGAAGTAAGAGTAAGATCTAGATTGTCGATGGTATGGGTATGTATACAACATATTCGCACATTCACATCCACATCCACACCCTTCTTTTTTTTTATTTGATTTCTATTTCTGGTAAATATATTTCTAAGGTGTTAGCTGTTTTTTTTTGTCAATGAATATTCTGAAATGTGCATTTGAATATCTTTAACTGATGTCTGTTTATTCAATAAATGACAAAGATTTATGTTACTGTGGTCACAAAAAGAAAACGAAATTCCCTTATGTCTATAAATCCGTGTCTATTATTAATATGTATAAGACTATTTTATTAGTTAGAAATAGATGATACAATCGATTTCTTAAGAAAGTTCATCAAAATACTACGAATATTAACCTTTATCACCATAAGCCATAAAATAATGAAATGTAAAATCGACATCACTCTTCATTATTTTGTTAAAGTATTCAAAACCTTGATAAGTTTTCATTTCTGATTTTGGCATTGTAAATATACACTACACAGATTAAAAATGATTATTATTAAATTTATAAAAAAAAAATCGAAAATTATTTCAATTACTTCAACTTGAGGATTTTGTAAATCTGCTGCTTTAAACATATCAATCATTTGTTCAGATGAAAAACCTTTTAAAATTATATGAACAATTTAATAGAAAATTTAATAGAAAAAAAAAAAACTCACCATGTTTATGTGCTATAATATTTTCATGTTTATGTTCATGACCATGACCATGCCCATGACCATGACCATGACCATGACCATGACCATGTCCATGTCCATGGTCGTGCTCATGTTCACCCTTATTTCCAAGAAAATATTCAAAAAATTGTTCAATATTTCCTGCATTAGCAAAATCAATAACCATCAAACGTCCTTTTGGTTTAAGACGTTGAACAAATGCCCGTGTAACATGTAATGGATCTTCAAAATGATGATATGATTGTACGCAACTATAATTTTACAACTAAATTAAAAAAATTTCTATATAAATCAACATACATAATAACATCGAAAAGTGCTCCATCAATATCTGTTTGATCACCTTTAAGACAATCGACTTTAATACAATGCATTTTTTCCGGTGATATTCCTTGTTCTTGAACCTATTATTAAAAACAAAACTTGAAATCTGGTTAGTTTTCGACAAAAATTAATTGTAAATTTACACTACGATTGAAAACTTCAACCATGCCTTGTGCTGCATCAGCACCGACAATACGTTTAGCATGTGGTAAAAGATGAAATGCAATAAGACCAGGTCCACATGCAAAATCAAGTATTTCTGTTATATTTGGATCAAATGGAAATTTTTTTAGAATATATGATGCACATCGTTTTGCTACTTCCATAGATAATTCATTGCGATAACTCTCTGCTTGCTCAGAAAAATGCTCTGCATTTGCTTTTACACATTCATCTTGATATATATGTTCGACAGCCATTTCAAATACAAAAACAAAAATGAAGAATCATATAAGTGGTTAAATGTGCGTGTGCGATACTAGAATAAATAAAAATAACAGAATAATGTTTTGCTTTTTGTCACGTGGCCTCTCGAGACTACCGACGATAATGAATTCTTTTTTTTTCTTATTTGTGTAAAGCAAGAATATATGAGTTCAATGTACCCATCTTTAGAATTATTTTCAAAAAAAAGAATTCAAAGAAGAAAGAAATACTTGACTTACAAATAAGATTGTTCATGTGTGTGTATCTTTTACTTTTGTAAAATACGAAGTGATCAAAAATCTAATGATTACTTTAGTTCTCAGAGTTAATTAAGATGAGTATCAATTCTTATGGAAAAGACAGCAGTGGATAGCAAATCGATCGGTGAGATAAATGCTCATTTCAAACGGAAAAATGCCATTCAGGTCAAAAATGAATTTTCTTTCCATGGTAAGCTATCAGACCCTAGATGAGTCACACTTTTGTTATCAGATTCTGAAGTCACTTATGCACTTGATTTATATTTTTGGCCCAAAAAATATCATACTATAATTTAGGTATCAAAAAATTCTAAATTTAATTTATAATCGAATGAAATACTTCTTATTACTAAACTATTTCTCTAAACTTGATTTTTAGACTGAAAACCTTTTGCTTGTGCAGCCCTCTTTCAAGATGCATTATTAGTAAAATGAGATATGTTAGCAATGAGCATATTCTTATAATGTTGCTTTGCTTGTTCTAGAGCATATTATATGATAATCTTTTGAATTTGTTTTTTGGAAAAAAATAAATATGGATGTTACCGATGAGAAGTGCATCTGTTATTAATTGGAAGAAAGAAACGTATTTTCACCCCTCTGACAATATACCACCATTCTGTTTATATACGACGACCGTTATATACATACATGCGTACGAGTCCACATTTCATCCGTATCTCATTCTTCTATGATTACCATTCAGAAAAGAAATACGTGCGAAAACAACCCTTTTCATGCACTCCAAGGTAACCATTTGCTCATCAACATACTTATCCACCAGAAAAATAAAAAATTCGTAATAATAATGAAGACTCCTATATGAAAAATGAAACCGAAAAATGAAAAAAATGATTTCTTCTATAGGCAAAATTGTTTCATACTACTACGTATAGTAGTAAGAAAGACTTTTTTCTATAGAAGTAGTCATTTTTTCATTTTTCGCTTTCATTTTTCATATAGAAGTCTTCATTATTACTATGAATTTCTTATTTTTCTGGTGGATAAGAATGTGAATGAACAAATGGCTATCTTGGAAGTTTTCTTATAGATTGCGAGTCATTTTTCATTATTCCATGGCATTTATCTTACGGCTTTTCTAATTATTCATATGAATTTGAAATTTGACGGTTGAGGAGGTGTGGGGTGTGGGTGTAGGGTGTTCTAAATGATACCCACACCCTGACTGTTCTTTTACATCCTATTAGATAGTTTATAATAGAATTATTTGAAAAAAAAAGATTAACCCTTTGAGTACCGGATTATTTTTATATAATAAAAATTTTTATAATTTCAAACTAACGTTTATTTCGCAAAAAATCTCACAAAGTACATGAATTAAAATGCTTGTAGAGTGCGATAGTCTTTAAAACAATCCATAAGACATAATCCTACGTCACATTCAATGCATTCATACGAAGTATCTCTTCTTGAATTTAGTTGAGTCTCTGTTGATTCAATGCGCGAAGAAAAATGTTATCAAATGTGATCAATTGATCAGAACTTTTACTATAGATAACACTCTTGAATGACTGTGTTAATATGAAAAATCCTGTTGATAACGATTATTCTTTCTTGGGAAATGTTGTCCAATGACTTATGTTCTAATTCATTGAATCACATAGTAGTCGATAGAAATATTAGGGAATAACCAATATTCATCACTAGGTACAGATAGTCTTAACCGTACAAATATTCATGTAACTCATATCATAAAATAATCAAACGATCATGTTTTCTAAAGTTATTCAGACCCTAAACTATCAGGACGCGAATTCGCGTCGCCGGTACTCAAAGGGTTCATTTCTGTTACTTTTCATTCAAAATGATTCATACGAATCGTAGTTTTTTGTCTTCCTTTTATTTTTTTCAATAGTTATTTTTCTTTATCAATGTTTTTTTTTCTTACATGTTCTATGGATTTATATTGGAAAAACTGATGTATTATATAAAATACACGTGCAATCTTTTTCTTTTTAACTACTATAAATCAACAATAGTTTTTTGATTTCTATTAAGATTTTTTGACTTAATTTGTATATGGAACAAACTAAAAGATCATGGAATAACACTATAGATAATTATGATGATAACAAAAGGAAAAAAATAAATAGTAAAAGTCATATTTAGTTTCTTTTTTATAATTAAACCTTTTATATTTATTTTTTTAGTAACAACAGTCGAAACAGACTAGTTAGTTATTTATAAGAAAAAATATTTCTTTGATTGCATCTACTTTTTGTTTTTTTGTTTTTTAGTTCAACAAAAGAGTATTTTACTACTAATGAAGATCTTTCAAATGAACTTATTTATGAAATATTTGAATTTCTTGATGATCATCATGTATTTCAAAGTTTTTATGATCTCAATCAATGATTTCAATCTTTTTATTAATTCAAATCTTCCAATAAAATTAATATTTCATCTATATCAAAATTTTTATTTCATCATTATCTGACACATTATTATATCACTTACCTATCGAATAAAATCAATCTGTTTATCAGATCCATTTGGTGCTGATATGAGTTTATTATTATTTCCTATAATAGCAAACTTAACTTAACTTACAACACTTATTATAAATAATAATGAATCTAATTATATTGAACATATTTTCAATCATTTAGCTTCATTTATTATCATATCTATTGATAATATTAAAAATCAAAATGATATTTATTATAAAATATTTCGTTTACCTACATTAAAATATTGTCAATTATTAATTGAAACATTACGATATCTCAGACCATTGTCTATCGCTAAAAATGAATTTAGTTTTATCGAACATCTTGTCATTAATAATAAAATTTCAATTAATCAACTTAATAGTTTATTATCATTTGTTCCACAACTTCGTCGTTTATCAATTGGGTATTTAGATGGATATAGATACAATCGAACACACAAAAGTTCAATAGTTTTAAATTATTAAGTTCAAGTTTTACGTATTAATATGTCCATTGTTGGTTTTTATTATTTAGATTATTTAAATGCTGATCAATGGGAACGATTAATTTCAACTTATATGCCAAATATGCGTACTTTTGTCTTCAAACATAAATTTCGTTCATACTATCAAAATATTGATCGAACAGCATATAAAACCCAGATCAGTAAATTTAACTCATTATTTTGGATGAAACGACAATGGTTCTTTGAACATCAATATGATCGACAAAAACGTTCTAATGTGGCCATCTTCTATTCAATAAACCCATAGAAGTAAGAATAAAAAATCCAATTTGTAAAATATATTTATATTCTCTTATGTTTCAAACGAAAATATTACATGTTGTATGAAAAACTAGAAAAAAAAAATCTGGTCATATCATTTTGAAATTACTGAACATTCAATTCATCATATTTTTATTCATAATACAAAGGCAATGACACAATTTGTCGGCAATTTTCCAAATATTACTGAGCTTACTCTTTCTAAAAGCTTTGATGTACTTCGTGATTCAATGATAACTAATCTTAATCGTATTATTCCTTTGAAACAACTTACTAAACTAACTCTTGATTGTCTTCGTTTTTCTTTTGAACAATTATAATTGAACTTTTACAATTTGCACAGAATGTACATACATCGAAACTTGATTCTATATTACTTTATCGAACAGATTCTAATTCAATTCAATAAAATGAAATATTTCGAATAGTATTTAATACAAATAATGTTAAAAATATAACAATTAGTAAAGAACTTACGTTAGACATAATTCAACTATTTACTATTCTCTTTTCTCGAATACAATATCTTACAATTAATTTATACGAAGAAGCTTTAGAACCGATAGCACGATTTCTATTATCAAAACCTAATGACAATACACGTCATTTAGCATTATTATGTATTTCAAAGTAACTTAAAGATTTGGCAGAAAAATTAAAAATTTTGATTGAATCAGAGAAACTTCTTCATGATTTCATGATTAAAGTTATTAATCGAAAACCATATTTATGGTTGTAGAATTTGTTTGTTAAATAGATATTCCAGTCTTGAATATCATTATTAATTTTCTAATAAACATAAAAATCAATCATTAATATATATTTTCATGTGATTTATAGATTTATTAATCAAAAAAGAAACACATCACGTATTATGGAAGAATCAAACAATTTTTTTCAATATTAAATATTATAGAATAAACATTTAATCAAGTTTAGTTGAACAAACTTATTACTTTATTTAGGATCAATAAATTGTAAAAGAAAATTTTTCTGATGATTATCTTATTTATTGGCATTTGTCTTATTATTATTTCTATTATGACACAGTAAATGACATTATTTGAAACATTAAAGTTTCATTCACAATATTATAAATGTGAGTAACTTCATTACTTCAAATAGCTCAAATTTTATAAAATTTTCTTTTTCTTTTTCTTATTACATACAATAATTTTTACAAAGTAATTGCTCGTTCTAATGAAAGTAATGATCTTTATGCAAACCAATTGTAAGAGACTATGCTACTTGAACGAAAATCTTAGACTAATTAAATAGTGTAAAATTACTGCAATGTGGTACAAATTGTAAGTTTGCTCAAATCCTTCTCCATTTTGGCGAATATAGTTTGATTAATAGATAATTTCAACACAATGATTGTCGATAGTTTGTTGACCTTGTGTAGCACCTAAAAGCGCACTAATCATCGCCTATTTCTAACGCTCTCTCAAGTGTTTCAAATGTTATTCGTTTTATAGGGATAAGACCGACTACCATTGATAATGTATCGACGCAAAAGCATGTTGCACCATGACTAATATCTAGCAAGAGTTCATTATTAATCTCGTCAATTTTATCTAACAATGGAGGCGTGTGTGTGTGTGATGTAACGCAAGGAGATATTTTAATTTTAATGTATGTGAAATTTAGGTATACAAATGAATCAGAGAAGGTTTTATCCACTATTATAAGGACACAACATAGTGCTGTTTGGGCTGATTATGGGGTTTGTAGGAACTCTCTTTCATATGGCCTGAACAACATCATGTTTTATCCTTATA